TCTTTCTCCAAGGACTGATCCCTCGTGATAATTTGTCAAAGTATGAGAGACCAAGTCATCATCCTGGCTTTTAAGGAGCATTCTGGCTGTACTTCTTCTAACAAAAATTTGTTTGTTCTTAAATGTACCCAAGTCTCAGGAGAACCGTGGAGAGCAGCATTTCCTTTTTTGCTGTCCTGACAGGACTGTCACACGGGATGATCAAGGATACCTCAGGAGAAAGGGCATTGTGATAAAGGCATTTGGGCAGTGCACCGTATTCAGCCCTTCTCTTAAAGAATTGTGTGATGAATATATTAGCACAATAGGTCAATGGTAATATATTAGCACAATTTCATTTGGTTGAGCCCAGCACTTACCTACTTTTCCAACTCCTATAACCAGTTTGTCACACAGCCTAGAAACACTGGTTTGGTAAACACTGGACAAGCCAGCATAGTTAAAGAGACTTATTGAATAAAGAGAACAACTGCTCCAGATGTTCTCCTTCAGATGGTTGTTTCTAACCTTGTTTTAAATGAGTAACCCTGAGCAGGACACAGCCTGGAGTATTAGGTCAGATGAGGTTTTTAGGGCCATTTTTCCAGTCTTCTTTCTAAAGCAACCCAAATCTAAGTAAAGGGCTCAGAAATCTGTTCCCCTGTGGAGGGGTCTATCTAAGACAGGGGTGAAGAAGGTCCAGCCCAAGTGTCTTATAAGTCCATGACATCATCTGGTCTGGACCTGACAAGGCAAATGCAGGTGGGGCTCAATAAATCCAGAGCTTTATTCATGTTGTTGTTTTTGTTGTTATGTGCCATCTACTTGATAATGACTCATAGCTACCTTATGCACAACAGAAGGAAACATTGCCTGGTCCTGTGCCAACCTCACAGTCTTGGCTACATTTACAGCCACTGCTGCTGCCAATCCATCTCATTGGAGGTCTTCCTCTTTTTCCACTTTACCAAACATGATGTCTTTCTGCAGAGACTGGTGTCTCCTGATAACATATCCGAAGTATGAGAAATGAAATCTCACCATCTTGGCTTCCAAGGAATATCCTGGATGCACTGCTTTGAACAGACTAGTTGGTTCTTTTGGCAATCCTTAGTACTTTTAATAATCTCCTCCAATACTATAACTCAAATGCATCAATATTTTAGGGGTTTTCTTATTTACTATCCAACTTTCACATGCATATAAGGTTACTGATAATACCATGGCTTGAGTCAGGCACACCTTAGTCCTCAAACTTGCATCCTTGCTCTTCAGCACTTGAAAGAGGTCTTTTGCAGCACATTTGCCTAATGCAATACATCATTTGATTTCTTGAATGCTGATTCCATGAATGTTGATGGTTGATCCATCCCTGCAAAATGAAGTCTTTGACAACTTCAATGTTTTCTCCATTTATCTTAATGTTATTTATTGATCCGTTGGTGAGGATTTTTGTTTTCTTTACATTGCGGTGCAACCCATACCGAAGGCTGTGGTCATTAATTTTCATCAGTAAGTATTTTAAGTCCTCTTCACTTTCAGCAAATAAGGTTGTATCATCTACATATTTCAGGTTGTTAATGAGTATTCCTCCAATCATCCTCCATGTTTTTTCTTCATATAATCCAGCTTCTCAAATTATTTGCTCAGCATATAGATTGAATAAGTATGGTGAAAGAATACAACCCTGATGCACACCTTTCCTAATTTTAAACCATTTAGCGTCTCCTTGTCCTGTTTGAACGACTGCCTCGTGGTCTATGTACAGATTCCTCAAGAGCACAATTAAGTATTCTGTAATGCTCATTCTCTGCAATGTTGTCCATAGCTTGTCATGATCCATACAATTGAAAGCCTTTGCTTAGTCAATAAAGCACAGGAAAACATCTTTCTGGTATTCTCTGCTTTCAACCAAGATCCATCTGACATCAGCAATGATATCCCTTGTTCCATGGCCTCTTCTGAACCGGCTTGAACCTCTGGAAGTTCCCTGCTAATGTATTATTGCAGCCATTTTTCAATTCTCCCTAGCAAAATTTTACTTGCAAGCGATCTTAATGATATTGTCTGATGACTTGGGCTTCCACTGGGTCACCTCTCTTTGGAAAGTGTATAAATATGGAGCTTTTCCAGTCAGTTGGCCAAGTAGATGTCTTCCAAATCACTTGGCATAGATGAGTAAGTGCCTCCAGTGCTGCGTCAGTTTGTTGAAAGATTTCAATTTGTATTCCATCAACTCCTGGTACCTTGTTCTTTGCCAATGTCATCAATGATCCTTGGACTTCTTCCTTCAGTATCATTGGCTCTTGATCATATGCTACCTCTTGAAATGGTTGAACATCCACCATTTCTTTTTGGTACACTGACTTTGTGTATTCTCCCCATCTTCTTTTGATGCTTTCTTCACTATTCAATATTTTGCTCATAAAATCCTTCAATACTGCAAGTCGAGGCTTGAATTTTTCTTCAGTTCCCTCAGCTTGAGAAATGATGAGTGGATGCTTCCCTTTTGGTTTTCTAACTCTAGGTCTCTGTGAATTTCACTATAATACTTGACTTTATCTTCTCAAGCTGACTTTGTAATTTTCTATTCAGCTCTTTTACTTCTTCATTTCTTTCATTTGCTTTAATATCTCTATGCTGGAGAGCAAGTTGCAGAGTCTCTTCTGACACACATTTTAATCTTTTCCTTCTGTCTTGTCTTCTTAATGACCTTTTGCTTTCTTCCTGTATGGTGTTCTTAGTGTCATCCCACAACTCTTCTTGTCTTTGGTTTTTAGTGTCTAATGCATCAGATCTGTTCTTCAGATGATCCAATTATTAATGGATGTTTAAAGCTGTTTCTCTTCATTTCAAGTTGTGCCCCAACAGCAAATAAAGGTCCCAAAGGCTTTAATCCATTAGTGTCATCATGGTTAACTCTATTTTGAGGAGGCAGCTCTTCCCCAGTCGTATTTTGAGTGCCTTCCAACCTGAGGGGCTCATCTTCTGGCACTATATCTGACAATATTCTGGAGCTCTTAATCATGTTTCAATAGTCAGTAATGTGGTGCTGACAGTGCTCCACTGATAGTCATAAGGTTTTCAATGACTAAATATTCAGAAGCAATCCATCTCTCCTTCTTCCTAGTATGTTTTGGTCTGGAAGCTCAACTGAAACCTGTCCATGGTGGGTGACCCTGCTGGTATTCATTATGCCCATACATAACTTCCAGAATCACAACAACATGCAAGCCACCACAGTACAACTTACTGACAGACAAGTGGTGGTAATTAAGTGGTATTAAAAATATTCAAATGGCCCTTGGCAGAAAGAAGGTTCCCCACCCCTGGTCTAAGGGTAGAGAGTATTACTTAGAGAAGGGAAAAGACGTCTTCCCAAGACTTAGCCTCCTAAGCAGGAGACCAAACTTAGGGCAGAGGGAAGAGGCAAAGTGTTCACCTCCATAAATTGTCACTGTGTGAACTGGGTAGCTCCCTGGCCCTGCCTTGACCCACTTTTGGCTAAGAGTTTCGGTCTGGATTTCAATTACCTGTGCTTAAACCCCAGCTATGCACCTAATAGTTGTGTAAGCTTGTATACCTCACTTGAACCTCAGTTTCCTCATCGTTCAATGGGAACAAGTATAGAAACTGGTTCCTAGGCTGGCTGTGAAGGATAAACATGATGGCATCTTTCTATAAAATGCTCAGAGTGAGCTTTCAATAAACATGAGCAATTATTATTATCATTTCCCTGTAGTTGCAGCCAATGCTTGGGCCACCATGAACTGGGGAATCTTCGAGGGGCTCCTGAGTGGAATCAACATGTACTCCCCAGCCTTTGGGCACATTGTGCTGTCTCTGGTTCTCATCTTCCATGTGCTGGTGTACTTGATCAAGCACGTGTGACGTAATGACCACAAGGAGCACCACCCAGACTCTGTCACTTCATCCTACAAGCAGGACAGCCTCTTCTCGGGTGACCTCATCTTTCTGGGCTCAGACAATCACCTTCATCTCTTATCAGACTGCCCTTGGGACCACGTGAAGAAAACCATACTGTGAGGGGCTGCCTGGACTGTGCTGACCAGTCAGGGCTGGGACTGGGAGGGAAGCTTCATCCCTGTCTGCAGCAATGGGGCACCCATCAGTGAATGCACTAAAGGGGTGCAGCCTGAATGATGGGGGCAGGTGAGAGGGAGAAGTCACATGGCCTGGATCAAACCCCTATTCCTCCACTCCACCAACTTGCCCCAGCTGTGTGCCCATGGGTAAATTACTCCTCTGCTCTACACCTCAGTTTCTTTGCCTGTAAAATGGACATATTGATACCCACCTCACAGGGCTGTTGTGAGGGACATTTAGTAAGAGAACATACATGCCAGAGCCCTCCATGTGTGTGGTCAAAGCTTAATAAAAGCCAATCCATTCACTCACTCAAGGTGTCCTTGTTCTACTGACATCTGTGACCTTTATCGGGTCATTGTGTCAATCCCTCTGACCCTGAAAAGGGATGAGCTTGATCCAGGCAGATGAGGAGCCATCCTGTCCTTCAGTAAAGGAGACCTCAGCACTCCTAGGGACCATGCTACATGCCCATACTCACATTAACCTTTCTCCCCAGGTGTAGTTTTAGGTCCATTGTTGTTGTTGTTGTTAAGCACTGTCGATTCGATGCCAGCTCATAGCAACCCTGTATAGGGTTTCCAAGAAGCAGCTGGTGGCTTTGAACTGCCAACTCAAAAGAGAATGGAGCTTAGTCTGTGGTGGGCTGTGGATTGCAGGGAAAGCATAGAGTCTCAGAGTCAGACATCTAATTCCTATGCAATTTTCACTAGGACTCCAGGAATGTGCTTTTAACTTCTCACATAAACGGCATTACTATACCTACCCCGTGGGCCGCTTGTGCAGCCAGGATGAGATCATGAGTGTGGAAGGGCCGCATAAGTGTTAATCACTGGTATTAGGAAACATTCAGTAAATGCCTGTGGGAAATGACTGCACATTAACCTTCAGCACCAATGAGAAGGCAGAGAGAGACCCCATTGGTGGTGACCTGGCCAGGGTGTGAGGATACCAGGCTCTTGTCCATGTCAATAAGGTCTCACCCACTATTATAGACTGAATTTTATTCTCCTAAAATATGTGTTGTAAATCCTGTGTGATCCCATTTCGGAACAGTGTTTTCTTTGTTATTTTAATGATGCCATACCAGTGTACCATGTATGTTAAGCCAAACACCTTTGATATGTATGGTGATGGTGTGCCGTGGAGTCTATTTCAACTCATAGTGACCCTGTATGAGACTGTAAATCTTTACTAGAGCAGAAAGCCTCATCTTTCTCATATGGAACTGCTGGTATTTTCAAACTGCTGATCTTGAGGTTAGCAGCCCAACTCGTAACCCCTACCCTAATGTATTTAGGCACACCGAAGCAAGCAGGATCGTAAGGAAAGAAACATGCCAAGAGACTGAATAACAGAAGTTAAACAGAGCCAAGGATCTTCCTCCAGAACTGACAGAGAAAGCCTTTCCCTAAGTCAGTGCCTCAGACACATGTGATGGTTGTTGTTGTTAAGTGCCATCAAGTCGGGTCCAAATTATAGTGACCCCGTATAGGGTTTCCGAGGAATGGCTGGTCATTCTAGACCATAAATTAGGAAGACCAAGAAACTGATGCCTTGGAATTATGATGTTGGCAAAGAATTTTAAATATACCATGGACTTTCAGAAAAATAAACAAATCTGTCTTGGAAGAATGACAATGCTAGTATTCCTTAGAAGTGAGGATGGTGAGGTTTCTTCTCGTGTATTTTGGACGTGTCATCAGAAGAGACCCATCCTGGAGAAGGACACCATGCTTCATCTGTGAAAAAGTGGAAGATTCATAACTACGTGGATTGACGTAGTGGCGCAACAATGGGGGCTCAAGCATAACAAAGATTGTGAGGATAGCACAGAGTTAGGCAGTGTTACGTTCTGTGGTACGTAGGGTCTCTATGAGTCAGAACCAACTCGATAGCACCTAACAACAACAGAACCAGTAACCTGAATTCAGACTTTTAGCTTCCTAAACTGTAATAAAAGACATTTATGTTCATTAAAGCACCCACTTGTGTTGTTTCTGTTATTGTTGTTCCAACTCATAGCAACCCTGTGTAGGGTTTCCAAGGAGCAGCTGGTGGATTTGAACTACCAACTTGGTGGTTCACAGTCCAGTGCTGATCCTACAGTGCCACACCAGGAATCCATTTCTGTTACAGCAACCCTAAGACACTAAGACACTCACAAATCTGCTACCTCAGGTAGCCATGTCCAATCTGCCTGGAGGAAAGGCATAGACCAGTAGATTAAAACCACAGTTCTTTGCTGTGAATTTGTGTCCAGAGAAAGTCTGCTGCCCACCTGACACCACCCCCCATTTCGCTCTCTATTTGGCTCATTGTCTCAGAAAGTTCCACTCAGTAGGGAAGTGAGAAACAAAGGCAGATTGACAAGTCCAGGAACAGGAGAGCAGCTGCTGGACCCAGGAAGGGTAAGGGCCAAGAAGACAAGGGAGATTGAGCTGGAAAGCAAGGAGTCAGCTGGGTTGATGACGCCCAGGGACTGTCGGGCTACAGGTTGGCTTCACATAGGAGGCCCCTTCAGGGGGTCATTGAGCCAGGATCCCTGGAAAAGTCCCAGGAAAACTCTTATTGCAGGGGAAGGAATGTCTCATAAAATCAAAGGGAGGGCAGAGGTCCAGACAAAAAAGTGGAAGGATCAGGAAGAAATGCTACTTCAGTTCTGTTAATTATGCATTTATTATGAGTCCACTGGTCAGGTTGGGTACTGGATCCTGGGGAAGTAGAAATGAATGTGATGTCGAATCTGCCCTCCAGCTGCTGACAGTAGACCAGAAGTCTGGTAAAGAGACCAGGGTCAGAACAGAGAAAGCTTTCCAGAAACCAATGTTCAAGCTCTGAAGATGCAGAGAGCTGAGATGGGATCAAAGGCTCGCAATGGAACTTGATGGGATAGGGAGTGTGGAGATGGAGCACATAGGACAGGGGCTGACTAGAAATAATGGAAGACTTGGCCGCAAACAGATAGAGGGAGAGAGAGAGTCAACAGTGCAGGGAGGATCATCCTGGAATCTCACCTCTATCCTTTCCCTAGCACCTCCTTAAATCTGCAATTGTTGGAATTCCAGAGAAGCTCCCTGTGGTCAAGACATTAGGACTAAAACTTAGGGTAAAAGAGGTTGGTTGGAATGTTCACACATGATGATTATCATTCATATTTATCTATTACTCTACAGAACAAAAGAGATTTTGTAACTAGAAAACCACGATTCAAGACTATGTCCAGCTGTAGGGCTTTGCTTTTACTCCTTTGTGAAATGTGAATTATGGGAACTCCAACCCCATTAGCATAATGGTTATGAATCAGGCCGCAAATCTCAAGGTCAGCAGTTCAAAACTACCAGCTGTTCCACAGGAGAAAGATGAGGCTTTCTGCTCCTGTAAAGATTTATAGCCTCAGAAACCCTGTACAGGGTCGCTATGTGTCAGAACCGACTCCATGGCACATAACAACAACAACAGCTCCGTTAAGTCATACATGAGGACACAGAAACACAGTGGTTATGAAAGGGTTTTGTCAATTGTGCATTAGTAAGGAATGCCCACTCCAAGTCCCCCTGGGCTTCATGACCCCCCAAGGCTTGAATGGGTGGTGCCGGACTATAGGGCCCTCCATATCGAGGTCCAGGGACACTGTTAGCATGGACTGAAAGTTTCTGCTGGACCTCCTGAGCAGGCGTAGCATGAACTCCACAGTGCTGAGCCACATCAGACTGTCTGTGGTGTTGTTCTTCTGCCGGCCATATGTGTACATACATATGGCCACCAAGAAAGTATAAGAGGATGAACAGAATTTTGTCTACAGCACTAAGCAGCAGGCAAATATCAGCTTTGATGAGTTCTTCAATATGTCCAACTCCGTCTCTGGCCCACCACCTCATCTTGGTCATATGGAGTCCAGGTGTAGTGCTGTGAGATAATGCACTAGACCACAAGGTCAGTCTGAACCTCAGGTCAGCAGTTCAAATTCACCAGTTGCTCCTCAGAAGTCCTATAAAGTGTCACTATGAGTCAGAACCAACTTGAAGGCACTTAACAACAACAACATAGGTGGTCATGCATACTTTCTATAGAAAGTACCATGTGAACTGTGAAAACCTTGAGTACTACAAGGACCTCCAGGCATGCATCTGACACATAGGTGCAACACCCTGTCCGTGTACAATGAGGACAAGAAGCTTTGGTGACCATACTTACTGTCATCTTTTAGGCCATCATCAACCAACTTCCCCTGCATCTTCCATCACCTCCACAAGTATTACAATATGACCTGCATGGTAACCTACTCTGTGATACCACGACCCCCACATTGTGGACTGTAATAGCTCCTGACTCATAGAGAATAAGGTCTTCACCTACTTTCTGGTAACGATTGCCACCTACATCATGCTTAACATCAGTGAGTCCACCTACCTGGTAGTCAAGTGGTACCAGAAATCTCAGAAGCATCAATCAAATACATGACAGAAATATGTGCTCTGCCAGAAAGATGAGAAGCCTGGGTTGGCCCCAATGGATGCAAGTGGGTTATGCACAACTCAGAAGGCCAGCAAATAGAATGATCAGATCCCCCTGGGGCCTGTTTCCAGGCCACCCAGGAAGACAAACTAGGGCAGTAGCACCTCTTCTTTAGCAGGGCAGGTCTTGAGGGTGGTTATGGGAGCTCCAGATGCCAGTGCCTGGGGCAGTTGGGACCAGGAATCCGGATCCTTCATGGGAGGGATGTTGATAGGAATATAGTTGACTAGCTAGGGGGGATTTTGTGTGCTGTCAAGTCGATTCTGACTCCTACGTACAACAGAACAAACACTTCCTGACCCTGCACCATTGTCACAACTGTTCTGCTTGAACCCATTGTTGCAGCCCCTATGTCAATCCATCCCATTGAGGGTCTTTCTCATTTTCACTGATGCTCCACTTTACTGAGGATGATGTCCTTC